CCAACATCACGTTCTCTAACACCGAGACAGATAATGGGACTGCTCCCATTACATTAGAACAGAATGACGCAGGAACACTGCATTAGACCTGTTAGCCTATGCTAGACAGGTTGAACTCTCACTTAACCACACCCCTCATACACCCATCTAAAATACATTTAGAGCTACGCTAAGCTCTCCCTTCAATGACGCTACATGGGAGTTTGTTCCAATCATCTACAATTCTTTTACTAAACCAGGACTTTCCTACATCCTTTCTAAATCTAAATTTGTCCAACTTGAATCCATTGCTGCGAGTCTTGTCTTGGTTAGATTTTTAATAAAGTTGGTAGAATTACCGACAAAATGTATGTAAAGTAAAATGACAAGTGCAACTAATGTGACATTTTATTGTGGCAACGTTTCGCTCTCCAGGAGCTTCATCAAGCCACTACAATGTGGCTTGATGAAGCTCCTGGAGAGCGAAACGTTGCCACAATAAAATGTCACTACAAACAATACATGGACACAGGGTATATAAAGGCTCAGAGCGAGGTACAATACTAGTGAGGTACCATTTCGATGTTCACTAGTGGCAGTAGTAATAGTAGTAGTGACAAACTTAATACAATATGGTAGAGCAATTAATTTGTACACGAGTAGAAGGATATAAAAGCTATTACTTGGGTAACAAAAAAATAGGTTGTTCACCATGTTACTGTTTTGCACACTACAATCATAATCCCGTTAGTTCCATGTCTTTCCAGAGGGCAAATTCAGTTCCTTCAGCCTATCTTAAAAAATATTTCTGATGCATGGCATAACATTCAACGCATTTTTTCATTCTTTAATATGGAGACTAAAACTGGGCATAATCTAAATGAAGCCTGACCGAAGATAAAGTAAAGTATAAACCTTAGGACTAACAATTCTTGATATGACACCAAGAATCACACGAGGTTTATTGTATTTGCGCGCTGTTGTGGAAAGACACTTATGTACGTTTCGCCACGAGTGGCTTCTTCAGTCCATTAGGACTGAAGAAGCCACTCGTGGCGAAAAGTTTCCTTTAATAAATGTCTTGAACTGTACACAAGTGTCTTCTTCCACATCTTGTCGGTATCACCATACCATCTCTTATGCGCTGTTGTCTTTGCGTTAAATTTCTAATAACCAGAACTAAGTCTTTCAAGTTTAATTTTTAGCTTATATTTATAAGCTATTTTCCGTGAGAAATGTCACTTTTTAAAAGAAAAAAATACCTGGAAGATTCTGGAGGGACTGGTCCCTAATATGCACACAGCAATCACTCCATACAACAGGAGACTTGGCAGGCGATGCAACATACCCCCAGTGAAAAATAGGGGTCACTGGTACACTAAGAAAACAACGCAAGTGTCCGTGACCCAAGACTGTTCAACAGCCTCCCACCAGCAATAAGGGGCATTACGCGAAGACTCCTGGTTGTGGAAATATAAACACATGCAGTATAATGTGACCCTGTGGTTAGTATGTTGGATTGCGTGCGGCCAGCAGTAACAGCCTCGTTGATCAGGCTCTGATCCACCGGGAAGCCTGGTCGTGGACGGGGCCGCGGGGGTGTTGATCCCCGGAATTCCCTCCAGGTAGGTAGAGGCAGGGGTGAGGGAAGGGAAACTGATGGTAGCAAGAGGATTATTAAGCACGGCAATAAAAGAGGGAGGGACAAAGACGGTAGTTAGCGAGAATACAGAACAGACCAAGTGGTTACAGTCACACGGCCGTGTGAAATCCCCCTCCAACCCCCCCCCCCACACACACACACCGTGTACATCAGGCCCTTACTGGTTTATGGAAACACTTTATCAAACACGTCAATTAGAAAGGAAAGGAGGGACGTGTGATAGGACGGGATGTATGATGACACATGAAGGAATTGACAAATTTATTAATTCTCACATACAAATTTAAACTAAATCAGGCGGGAGGTGGGGAGTAATGTCAGGATCAAGGCCTTAGCGGCGAGTTTTTATAGGTCGGTGGGTAGGAATAGGAGCTTATATGGGTGTCAGTGGGTTGCTCTTTTTCCGGAGAGTTATCGGGGAATGACTGTGGCACGACTCCAGTTGGTGCCGGGGAAAGGCAGCAAGGGGTTGGCTTCCGGAGGCGAGTGATGAGTACTTGGAGATGATTGTAGTAAGGAAGAGATGGTGGATGCTCCAGTGGTGTATGAGAGAACATGATGTAAGGCCTGTGTGTGTGTGTGTGTGTGTGTGTGTGTGTGTGTGTGTGTGTGTGTGTGTGTGTGTGGGGGGGGGGGTGTTCAGTTATTGAAATGGGGCTTCTGTGAGAGGTGGAGGTTTTTGGCAAGATTTTCTTGATTCTGTGGGTTCGCCAAGGCGTTCTTTCGATACTTTTAAAAGACGGACCAAACAATTTTTTTAGGAAATAATGAGCGAAGAATTATTTGTTGTAAAAGATGCGGGGGTTTGTTTTTGTTGCCCCCAGAGACTATTGTTAGGATTCCTATCCTATTTAACAAATGTAGTACGGGCGAGGTGCCTGCGTGCATCAGGCTCATGAATTTCCTGTATATTTAACTTTGTCAATGTTAGATGTTCTGTGTACGAGAGTGGGCATTGTACATTGCCCTATTCAGTATTCCTTCCTGTTGGGAAGTTAATGAGGTAGGAACGTATATACACACGGATTAAGGGTATATTTCACCTGTTCATACTGTGTACCTAGTGGGTGATGGGAGGAGGCACACATCTTAGAAAAAATTTCTTGTTTATCATTTATTCTAGAGTATGCAAAGTTCAATATGATGTGTATTTGGGTTATATGGGGTGTGGGGAGTACGATTTAGTCTCCTCGAAAACATTGTCAGGAGGTTTTAGTTTTCGAGAATCTATGTACATAATATGTTACTATACCAAATAATTGTATGAGAAATATGTTTTGGTGTATACTTAATGTTTTGTATATAAAGTTTTGTACAAAATATGCATAAGTGTAACAGGTTTTGTTATGTAGCTTTTTTTGTTAAGGAATGCTCAGGTGTAGGCTCTGTTTCATTCCTAGTTAGGCTTGTTTTTTCTCAGTGTAGAGTTTTTTTTTTGTTAAGTTTTATGTATAACATGTAGATTGTATACCGTGTCCTTAAATAAAAATATAAAAAATCGTCCCGTTTCCTGACGAATCTTACCTAACTTAACCCAATTTAATTAAAATGGTAAGTTACTTACATATGAACGTCACGTAAATAAATTTTAGTAAATATTACATTTTATAAGTTACGGGGATCACCCCCCCCCCCCCCCCCGCGGCCCGGTCCACGACCAGGCCTCCCGGTGGATCAGGGCTTGATCAACGAGGCTCTTACTGCTTGTCGCACGTAGTCCAACGTACGAACCACAAGGCTGATCCGGCACCGACTTTAGGTATTAACATTAAAATGGTATAAAATACCGACAGGTTGTTAGGTAAGACACATATGCAACAGTTAGGTATCTTTATTATGAAACGCTTCGCCTACACAGTAGGCTTCTTCAGTCGAGTACAGAAAAGTTGATAGAAGCAGAAGATACTTGAAGACGATGTAATCAGTCCATCACCCTTAAAGTTTTGAGGTGGTCAGTCCTCTTCTCCAGACTGAGGGACTGACCACCTCAAAACTTTAAGGGTGATGGACTGATTACAGCGTCTTCAAGTATCTTCTGCTTCTATCAACTTTTCTGTACTCGACTGAAGAAGCCTACTGTGTAGGCGAAGCGTTTCATAATAAAGATACCTAACTGTTGCATATGTGTCTTACCTAACGACTTTAGGTATCTTTCCAGCTGCCTCTTGAAGACCAGGGGTAATTCCCCTTATGACTGATGGGAGGCTGTTGAACAGTCTTGGGCCCTGGACACTTGTGTTTTAGTGTACTAATGGCGCCTCTACGTTTGACTGGGGGTATGTTGCAGCGTTTGGCAAGTCTTTTGCTTTCGTAGGGAGTTATTTGTGTACGTACAGCACCTGGGAAACAATCAGGTTTGTTCCAAAGGGAGAACACATCCATTCCCTTGGATTAAGAACATCATCGGCATCAAGGCCTCCCCCCCCCCACACGACATTTGTTACAAATAAATTGAATTCTAGGAATTAGACACATAAGCAACATCTGGGTATTTTTATTTGTAGAAGTTTCGCCATCCAGTGACTATCAATACAAAGACTGGAAATAAATGGTATCAAATACCGACACAGTTGAAATAGAAATTTATACAATAGATGAGGTAATCAGTCCCTCAACTAAGGGACTGATTACCTCAATTTTTGGTATATAATTCTACATTCTTCACATTATGTCCTCTGATAGTCACTGGATGGCGAAAAGTCTACAAATAAAAATACCCAGACGTTGCACGTGTTGCAATTCTCCAACTGGTCGGTATTATAAATCACTCTTATACAAATCAAATTCTATTATCACATTTTACCACCTGATTCCTACAGCTATATATACTCGCTCTTAGTTATCTCTGTATTAGGACTGAAGTCCCTCGTGGCGGTAATAAATTTCCTGAACTGTACACTCCACATTTTGGAGATATCACCATACCATTTTTCAATCGAATCCTAGTTAAGCACAGTAAGTATATACGTATTTCATTAATAAACAAACAATAACCTTAAGTACATGTAGACCTTACAAAAATAATGTCGAGACAATTATACATGGTTTAGAAAGACACGTAAGCAAACACTGACATATTTATTAGAAAACGTTTCGGTCCCGGGACCTTGATCACTTCTAACAAGTGATCTGCCCGAAATGCCTAGCCATGCTAGGCGTTCTAGTGGTACACTCTGTAATCATTATTTAACTACATGTAAACCACACAACCAAATTTTGTAAATTCAACATTGTAATCTTCATAGAAAATAAACTTCGAATTTGAATTGAATCAAGGTCCCAGGACCGAAACGTTTTCTAATAAATATGTCATAGTGTCGGTATTTATTACCAAGGTTTATACCACAATTATACATACCTATTTACTGCAAGAAAAAGTACGCGCGAGTGAAGAGAGAAGCACACCCACCCCCCACCAAAGTCTGCTGGACACTAATGGCTACACCCAACCCGACCAGCCAAGTTAACTAGGCCTGGCCGCCTCACTCTCAACTACCATAATATAATATACTTACTTGCGTAACATAGGAAGGAAGTAAGTTGAAGATTGAGACACTTATATGCTGCATAAGTGTCTCAATCTTCAACTTGTCGGTTTTTCAAACTATTCATCACAAGAAAGGTATAAAATACCGACAATATGAAAATTAAGACACATGTGCAACATCTGGATATCTTTATTGTAGACGTTTCGCCATCCAGTGGCTTTATCAATACAGATTCTAATTCCAAGGCCGAGGGACTGATTACCTCATCTTTTGTATATAGTTCTACTGTCTTCCTATTATGTCCTAGAATCTGTATTGATAAAGCCACTGGATGGCGAAACGTGTACAATAAAGATATCCAGATGTTGGTATAAACCTTGGTAATAAATACCGACAAGTTGGTTTAGAAAGACACGTAAGCAAACACTATAACATATTTATTAGAAAACGTTTCGGTCCTGGGACCTTGATCACTTCTAACAGTGTGTCTTAACTTTCATATTCATCACAAGGAAGTAAGTTATTATTATTATAATCAAGGGAAAGCGCTAAACCCGTTAGATTATACAGCGCCTGAGGGGGGGGGATGTGGAAGGTATTCAGGTTTAATTCAGGGAACTGGAGAACAGATCCAATTCCCTAGATCAAGAGCCCCTTAAGGAAGTAAGTTAAATAACAAAAAAAAAGGCACAATACCGTGACTGGAACGATACACAAATAACCCGCACATAGAAGACTTTCGGTCCGACTTGCACCATTTACGAAGTCACACTAACAAAAAGTGGAGCAGGACGGCTATATATAGGCAGGAAGAGGTAGTGGTGGTGGTGGTGGTAGTAGTAGTAGTAGTAGTAGTAGTAGTGGTGGTGGTAGTAGTAGTAGTGGTAGTAGTGGGGAATGAGGAGGAGCCAGTCAAATACAAAGAAAGGGGAGCACTACAAGGGAGCTAGGTGCCCACAAGGGAGCTAGGTGCCCACAGAGGGAGAGCAAGTGCACAGAGGTGGGTGAAAGGGGAAGTGGTGAAATAAATGAAGGAACAGAAACACGAGACAGAAGAAAGACAGACAACCCAGAGGAGGTGAAATTGAGACACATGTGCAACATCTGGGTATCTTTATTGTAGACGTTTCGCCATCCAGTGGCTTTATCAATACAAATTCCAGGACATAACTTGAAGACAGGAGGACTATGTACAGAAGATGAGGTAATCAGTCCCTCAACCTAGCAGTAGGTGCGAAGAGCACCGCAGAATCTCCACGACTGCGGTGCTCTTCGCACCTCTCCTCTCCTTACCCATTTCTACTTTGTATTGGACTGATGAAGCCACTATGTAGCGAAACGTTTCTTCAATAAAGATTCCCATAAGAACATAAGAATATAGGAACACTGAAGAAGGCCTACTGGCCCATACGAGGCAGGTCCTCATCAAAACGACATCTACCTAAAGCTACTCAAGAAATAACTTCCGCACCCCCCCGACACCAATCAAACCCAGCCCCTCCCACTCATATATTTGTCCAGTCTCTTCTTAAAGCTACCCAAGGTCCTAGCCTCTATCACCCCACTGGGAAGACTGTTCCACGCATCTACAACTAGAGTCAATTATAGCTGAGATTATAAGAAGCCATCTCGATAAGCATAGCTTGATTAATGATACTCAGCATGGATTCACAAGAGGCCGGTCTTGTCTAATTAATTTATTAACTTTCTTCAGTAAAGCTTTTGAGGCTGTTGACCACGATAAAGAATTTGATATTATTTACTTAGATTTTAGTAAGGCATTTGATAGAATTCCGCACCAAAGACTGTTAAAGAAAGTAGCAGCTCATGGCATTGGGGGAAGGGTGCTCTCGTGGATCGTATCATGGCTCACAGACAGAAAGCAGAGAGTGTCCATAAATGGGGTTAAATCCGAGTGGGGATCAGTAACAAGTGGCATTCCACAGGGATCAGTCTTGTTGTTTATAATATATATCAATTATCTTGATGAAGGAATTACTAGTGATATGAGCAAATTCGCCGATGACACGAAGATAGGTAGAATAATTGATTCAAACGTAGATGTTAGGGAACTTCAGGAGGATTTAGACAAACTCTACTCTTGGTCAGAAAAGTGGCAGATGCAGTTCAATGTAGATAAATGCAAGGTTCTGAAGCTCGGGAGTGTCCATAGCCCCAGCACTTATAAGTTAAATAATGTAGAACTTAGCCATACAGATTGCGAAAAGGACTTGGGGGTTATGGTAAGCAGCAACCTTAAACCAAGACAGCAATGCCTAAGCGTGCGTAATAAGGCAAATAGATTACTGGGATTTATATCAAGAAGTGTAAGCAACAGAAGTGCAGAGGTCATACTGCAGCTTTATACATCATTACTAAGGCCTCACCTAGATTATGCAGCTCAATTCTGGTCTCCATATTACAGAATGGACATAAATTCGTTAGAAAACATTCAGCGTAGGATGACTAAATTAATACATAGCATTAGAAATCTTCCTTATGAAGAAAGATTGAAGACTCTTAAGGTACATTCACTTGTTAGACGAAGAATGAGGGGAGACCTGATCGAAGTGTATAAGTGGAAGATAGGTATTAATAAAGGGGATATTAACAAGGTCTTGAGGATATCTCTCCAAGAGAGAACCCGCAGTAATGGATTTAAATTAGATAAGTTTAGATTTAGAAAGGACATAAGTTTAGATTTAGAAAGGACAATTATCCTACCTATCTTTGTGTCATCGGCGAATTTGCTCATATCACTAGTAATTCCTTCATCAAGATCATTGATATATATTATAAACAACAACGGGCCCTGTGGAACGCCAGTTGTAACTGAACCCCACTCGGATTTAACCCCATTTATGGACATTCTCTGCTTCCTGTCTGTGAGCCATGATTCGATCCACGAGAGCACCCTTTCCCCAATGCCATGAGCTGCTACTTTCTTCAACAGTCTTTGGTGCGGAACTCTATCAAATGCCTTACTAAAATCTAAATAAATAATATCAAATTCTTTATCGTGGTCATATGTGGCAAAATGCCACATATGACAGGTTTCCCACCCTTCCTCCTAATTATCTCTATAGCTGAGCTATACCTGCTAATCAGGTCCTCACTCCTACATAAGAACATAAGAACATAAGAATGTAGGAACACTGAAGAAGGCCTACTGGCCCATACGAGGCAGGTCCTTATCACCTCTACCTTAAGCTACCCAAGCAGCCTCATTATTCCCATTCTGAAGCCCAATCAACAAAATTCATTTCGCCCAATATCCCTTACTAGCTGTTTGTGTAAGACATTCGAAAGGATGATTCTTAATCGTCTTATGTAGGATGGGCTGTCAGGGGTAGAAACAGGGTCGTCTCCTTGCATAATGTAACGGACGAATGTGTATGAACCTGTGCGTATGATGTGTAATCCCAGTCTGGAGAGTTAATACCACTGTAATGTGTTTGACTTGGCCATGTTTCCCTTATGTTAATATTTTTATTCATTGTACTGTGTCTTTGGTGTTATTGTTTCACCAATACTTATATAATTACCACTTAGTTTATTCATATATGTCAAGTTCGGATGTTAAAGTTACCATGTTGGTGATAACGATCATATTCATTTCGGGGTGAAAGGGGGGGGGGGTAATTAATGTGTAATGAGTTTGTCATTACCGGTAATACCAACTTTATTGGTAGTTGTATACATGTGTTTGACATGTAATATTTCACATTGTGTTAGTATTATTTAAGGTCTTGTGACATTTTAGTATGGCAATATAAACACAAATGCAGTATAATGTGATCCTTTATTGACTACGTTTCGCCCACACAGTGGGCTTTTTCAAGTCACAAACAGAACTACCTGGGGTGAACGAACGAACGAACGAAAGTACAGGTAAGATCCCAAATGGGATGAGCGAGGAAGACGGGACAGACGAAGAATAGTGCTGGAGAGGAGTGTTCTTAGTCGTAGAAATAGAGCCAGGGCTTAACCCAGCAGCAAAGGCGATCGTGGGACAGATATTGAAAAGAGAAATTCCGGTTCTTCTGTTGGGACTCCGGTGGGGTGAGCTGGGAGTAAGGGACTTGCGACCTTTAGAGCTAGAGAGGAGTGCAGAACTGAGTCATGTCTTAACCCAAAAAAGCTAAGGCGAACGTGGGTCAGAGAATGGTACCTGTCTTAGAAGGTACCTGTCAGCGGATCTAAGGTTATTTGTAAGTAGGTTAGGAGCAGGATCATGCAAGGAGTAGAAAAGGTTGTGTTGGTTTGTGGGTCTGCGAATGTCTTCGTCAAGGAGAGAGGTCCAGTAGTCATGTCGTGTCTCAAGTTTGTCTATCTGTCTGTCACTGAGCCTCTTCCAGTACAGATTCAGCGCAGGGACGTCTAACTGGGCATGGAGAGACTCGCTTGTGGCGAAGTCCTCCCATCTGACATCAAGCACCCAGCGCAGCGCCTTGTTCTGGACACGCTGCAGTGTGAAGACCTGTTTGTGTCCCTTGATGGGACTGTACTTTGATGCTGCCTGTATTAACTCTGTGAAAAAGGTTTTTTTTTGTCCGTGGACTGAACAAGTGCCCCCCTCGGCAACTTTACCAGAAAATTAAGGAAAAATTGGGGCGGGAAATGGAGTACGGGACTGACCGAAAAAAACAAAGGATTCGTAGTATCCTCCTGTTTCGAGTCCTAGGTCAAAAAGGGGATCGTGGTCAGGGGCTGGCAGCGGGGCACGAAGTTGACGATCAAGAAGACAAATGGAAAGCAAAACGTAAAGAAGAAAGAGACTGCTGTGGAAACCCCAGGGGAAACCCTCCAACGCATTCTCGGTGCTACCCGACGAATGTGATCTACTCGGGATCGTCCGACGAACGCAAGGAAGGAAGAATTTGTTGTTGTTGGGGGATAGCATTAGATACATGGATAGGGCATTTGCTTGAAGGAAGGAGTAGGGACAAAGGGTTGCTTTCTGGGGTGGGTG